AGAATCAATTTCGTGCAAAGGGGTGGAAGCAATATAAAATATTGGCGAAATGGGAAACTGGCGAAGTGGGAAAATATCAAAATGGGAAAATGGCGAAATGGGATATTGGCGAAATGGGAAACTGGCGAAGTGGGAAAATGGCGAAATGGCGAAATGGGAAATTGGCGAAATGGGAAAATGGCGAAGTGGGAAAATGGCGAAATGGGAAAATGGCGAAATGGGAAAATGGCGAAATGGGAAAATGGCGAAGTGGGAAAATGGCGAAATGGGAAACTGGCGAAATGGTTAATGGCGAAATGGCAAATGGCGAAGTGGGAAAATGGCGAAATGGAAAGACACCGCACAAATGGCGCGCGCGTTTAGCTCAGCGCCGTTGGCGCGCGCCGAATGCGCACCGTGTGCGGGGGTCTTTACAGTCGTGTATCTAGCCATAGCCGAGTAGCTCTTCGCTCCCGTTATAGGACTATATACGAACAGCGATATGATGGAAAACGGCAGTGAATCTTTGCAAAACAGCAGGCGCTGACTCGTGCCCGCTCACTTTAGTGTCCCCGCTATTTAAATCCGACATGGCGACGTAGAAATGTTTTTGATTCGTTTGCGATTGATAAACGGCTTATCGAGCAAAATTACGGCGAGTTGAGTTTGATTTTAGCGACATCGGCTAAACTCAGGACGATTATGTCGTTGGCTACCGGATTTTTTCTGTTGTATCATGGACTCATAAATCAACAGATCAACTTGATAAATCAACAGACCATGCCGCAGGGACTCACTGCTGCCGTTTCCCCCTCGTTGTTGTTCATATATCTCTGTAGCGGCAGCTAGCCGATGAATGTTCGTTTTGCAGAACAATGGTGGGAAAGCCGGATCCGAGTGGCAAGTGTTAAACGGAAAAGCGCATCTAATAAGCTCCGGCTTCAACGCATTGTGGGTCATCAACCTTAAAGGTCTTCTAGTCTTTTATCGACATGGTATATATATTAATTTTTCATCTCTAATGATACACGATATATATTATGAGATGAAGGTTATAACGCTTGTGTATTTTTGGGTAAGTTAATTCTGTACAAATGCTTCAGTTTTTGAAGACGAAACGTGGTTTTCTCGTGGCACGGTTCGTCTGCGTTATGGCATAACATATATAATGGCTCATAACATATATATGCGAATCATTGCAGGCATATCTGATGCGAACCCGATAGGAACTTCCTGGACCTACGTAGGCGGTTCCCTCATTTGGATCAGTGTCAATTCCGTCAACAACGAGCTGTGGGGCTTAACCGATCGTCAGGAAGTTGTCCTCCGTCTGGGTAT